GGGGCGGGTTCCGGCTCAAAAATGTCCAAAATGGCCTGCGCTGACATGCTTGCATTACCACCCTGGGCCAGTGGGGCTGGAGCTGGAATAAGAATTTGCCATTGCTAATGTATATATATATATATATAGATATAGATATAGATATAGATAGATAGATAGATAGATACTTAATTGATCCCCGTAGGAGAAATTCAGATGTCCAGTAGCAGCAAAAATAAAATTGATCATTCTAAAAAGCTAATAATAGTATTAATCAGCCACAGGCCTTCAAGTCACAAAAGATGGAGTAGTCTCTGGGTGGAGCAGGACGGGTCACAAGGTGGAGTACCCGCTTGGTTTGGACCATTTTCTCTGCTCTAGTCCAAATTAAAAAGCGAAATGCTTCATTAGCATTTTTCAAAAAGTTAGCATTCCTCCAGTGGATTTTCACCTGATCCGCTTGGTTCGGACCATGATCCTCTCTGCTCTGGTCTGGACCAGTGTAAAACCATGAACACTGTACTGTACTGCACATCTCAGGTAGAAAAAAGCAATAAAAATAAAAATTATAAAGCACAAATAACTACTGTTCTTGCCTCTCAAAAACTGAGAGGCAAGAAAGTCGCTCTTGGCCCAAAGCTCCGTTCCACATGTGTGTCAATGCTGAGGGGAGTGTATTTTTTTGGACCACTCTAGTTTAGTTGCTGTGGAATTTTGAATGCACCCGTTAAATAAATGGGGCTAGTTCCGGCTAACGCATGCGCAAATGTGATTTTTTTTTTCACATTTTCCAGCCCCTGCGGCCATTTTGAAACTGCCCATAGACTGTGAAGGTGGTGGCACATTAGTCTCAACGGCGGAGATCGGCGTGACTACGTACATTAATATTTACAGTGTATGGGAAGAACTGTGGCAATACTTGTATCGTGATGGATGGATCGATATATTTCATGCCTCAGTTTTAATTTTCTACATGTTTTCCGTGCAATAGTGGACTGGTTTTTAGCTGTGATCGGTTCAGTGTGAAACATGTAGAACTCAGCTTTAATTCTGCTGCTTATTTCTTGCTTGAAATTGATAAATACAAAACATGCTGAAAGATCAAGGCGTCACAGACAGAGCAGCCGTCCTCCACCACCTGCAGCAGGATCAGTGACGGGCTGGTGCTTTGTGAATTGGGTCCAGCTCTGACAGCCACCCCCGACCCAGAAATGGATTATAGGGAGGAAAATGGATGCATGGACAAAACATGCTTTACTGGGATTTTTCTTCTGTACAGGTGAAAACAAAAAAATAGAATATAGTTTAAAAGTCTTTTTACTTGTGTAACTCAACTTACTATGTGGAGCTAAAGCCCTGTTTCCACCGACACTGTTTAACTACTACCAGGTACATTTTTAGTAAGTTTGGTACAGCAGGCGATGGACAAAACAAAAGCAGTTGCGTTCACTGCTGATCATCAGAAATCATCAGAATCAGACCAATCTCCAGGTCACAGCCCAAACGATGATAAATAGAGTTATTTCCTAGATCGCTGAATTACACTGAAAAAAACATCAGACAGATTTGAATGAAAACATAAACAAAAGAGACGCCTTTAAGTCATTTCTACTGTGGTCCATAGTTTTATACAATGAAAAGTAACAACAAACACAGAGATTGAAAAGCCTATATCAGAAAATCTAAAAGGGAATGAAATAATATACAATTTTTGCTTAATTCCATTTTCATACAAAATTTTAATAGTTTTAAAATGGACTTTTGAGCCATAATCAACATGATAACAGACAAAAGCTTGAACACTTTGCAGGTAGTGAGTCTATTTCATTAGTTAAAAGAACTTTTGAACAATGTTTTTCAGATTTAAAGTGTTTTGAAAGGTTGATATTAGGGTCACACGTTGTGCGCAGTGAGACACATCATGTTGTAAAGACAGTGGTTCAGGACACAGCTGGATACACACATGAGAGCTCCATATCTCCTGAGGAACAGAAGGGATAATTACACTGTGTGTGTGTGTGTGTGTGTTCAGTATGTGTGTGTGTGTTCAGTATGTGTGTGTGTGTGTGTTCAGTATGTGTGTGTGTGTGTGTGTTCAGTGTGTGTGTGTGTGTGTCTGTGTGTGTGTGTTCAGTGTGTGTGTGTGTGTTCAGTATGTGTGTGTGTATGTTCAGTATGTGTGTGTGTGTTCAGTATGTGTGTGTCTGTGTGTCTGTGTGTGTGTTCAGTGTGTGTGTGTGTTCAGTATGTGTGTGTGTTTGTGTGTGTGTGGTCAGTATGTGTGTGTTCAGTATGTGAGTGTGTGTTCAGTATGTGTGTGTGTGTGTGTTCAGTCTGTGTGTGTGTGTTCAGTGTGTGTGTGTGTGTTCAGTATGTGTGTGTGTGTGTGTCTGTGTATGTGTGTGTTCAGTATGTGCGTCTGTGTGTATATGTGTGTGTGTCTGTTCAGTATGTGTGTGTGTTCAGTATGTGCGTGTTTGTGTATTCAGTATGTGTATTCAGTATGAGTATGTGTGTTCAGTGTGTGTGTAAACAATCCGTCCGTGTGTGTGTGTGTGTGTAAACAATCCGTGCGTGTGTGTGTGTGTGTGTTTAGAGAGAGGAGTGAGCCATCATTAGACCATGAGTTTGCTTCAGTCCATTAAATCCTCAGTCCTCTTCAAAATCATTCTTGTTGTTGTTCGGAGCTTGCTTCATGTTTCCGCTTTTTGCAAAACAATCAATCCATAAATCTATTTGTATTAGCACTTCTTCAACACAAGAATCTAACACAAACCTCTTCAGTTCATGCAGACATTATGACCCACCTCAGAACCAAAAATCTATGTTATAATGAGGACATAACCTATTTTTTGTCCATTTTCAACCGTGAAAATCAATAAATCTTTATTTGTAAAGCACATTTGAAGCAGCCGAGGCTCACCAAAGTGCTGTGCAGACAAGTGAATGAAAAGAAGCGATAAAAACACAGACAAATACAAAAATACTGTATACACAAAAACTGAAAACTTGTCTCTTGCTAGCTGCTATAAAAAGCCAAAGAGAAAAAGTGCGTCTTAAAGGTATATAGGAGGATTTTCTACTTCCGGGTGGATCATCAAGACTATTGGTCCTCCTGATTGTCAATCATTCTGGTGATACGTGCTCGTCCAATAAGAGCAGAGAGTTTTTTTTAAAGTGGAGAGCGCGTTTCTTTCGTAAATTTTTGGAAAATCCTCCTGTACACCTTTAACTCATCGACAGCCAGCCCTTTTTGACGATTTCACTGATTCTCAAGACCCACAGAATATGATATGCTGAGACTACATGTATGTGAAATATGAAACCAGATTCTGAAAAACTGGATCGTCTACTTTCATCAGCAAAAATAAGTTTGTTTCTTGCTATTTTTGTTATTCTGTAATCCCCAGTCGAATAGATGGAAGTTTGACAGAAATCACCAGAAGCAAGGATTTGTGCAGTCCCTCAGACATGACATATAACACACCATACGAATAGAGAGTCCGATCGGTGACATATGGTTGTTTTGTCCTGGTCTCGGCTCCTCCCGCTCTGGTCCGTGCCTCTCTTGGCGCCCGGTCCTCTCCAGCTGTTCTCTTCAACCTGTTCGCATCGATTTTTCCGGCAGGAGTGATCTACAGGGACAACAGGAAGTGCATTGGATTTACTGACAGAGCTCGGCCTTACTGGAATGGATGGTCTGGAAATGAAGACCCGCTACAGCCGCGCAAATTTACGTCCTCTTTGGAAAGTGCACCGGGAAAGAAGACATTATGCCAACGGACAGTCGCAGCTGAAATAAATTCACCTTCAGAGGCTGTGAGGGGCCATTCTTTACCAGGAGACATACTCTGACAATCCCTTACCAGCAGGAAACTCACTGATCTGTTTGAACCTTTAGGCTTTTTAATTAATCAAATGAGAAACTGAACATGACAAAACAGACCTGACTCAAGACACACAAGGGGAAGATTTAAGCAGGGGATCAGAGTAACTGTCAATCAAACAGGACACATTTATTTAAAATACCTTAAGGATGAAGAAAGTGACTAACCTTAGCAATAATAATGATCAATAATGGCACGGTGGCTGAGTGGATAGCACTCTCGCCTCTCAGCAAGAAGGTCCTGGGTTCGAATCCCGATCGGACCAGGGCCTTTCTGAGTGGAGTTTGCATGTTCTCCCCGTGTCTGTGTAGGTTTCCTCCGGGTACTCCAGTTTCCCCTACCACTAAAAACATGTACAATAGGTCTAGCATGCCCCACTGTACTGGCCCCGCTCCCATCTCTGTGTGGAGTGAGAGACAAATGCCCAAAAATAACAATTGTAAACCGCTTTGAGACTCTGGTCTGTGAAAGGCGGTATATAAATAAAGATTACTTACTTACTTAATAATGAGTATGATACTATTTACAACTTAGGTTAGTTAGTTAGTTTGATTATTTCAGTCTCTTCATTCAGACTACAATAGTCAACGTGCCCCCAGGTCTGCGTAACCCTGGTTACGTGGAAGTATTGCAGGGACAGCATTTGTGCAAATTTTTTTTAACTTGGGCGACTCAAACTTACAAAAACAAAACAAAATTAGTATTAGTATTTGATTTTTTATAAAATTCTATAACACACATCTGTTATACATTTTAACTCCCAGAGCAGTCATTTCGACTGCTCCATTAATGTGAATGGAGAGTTCAAATGTAGCCATTTTTGGTCACAACCAATATTCACTATTCTTTGTCAATTAAAGCCCCTTTTCTCAAAGAGCTGGTCCTGGACTGGTCTTGGACTGGTCCTGGAGTGGTCCTGGACTGGTCTTGGATGGGTTTTGAATTGTTCTAGTTACTGCAAGTGTTTTTGCTGTTTTTTTGCTGTATTTCATTGTTACGTTCACCAGTTTTAGCACTTTTTGAGGGTAGCGATATTTTATGAATGGGAGCCGTCGAAAAGACTGCTCTGCGAGTCCTAGTGTTAAAAGTTCTCTAAACCTCACTAAGTCTACATTTGTCTCTTTTGTCTTTCAGTCTGCCGCATGGAGTCAAGGCGAGCCTGTCTCTGTCCCCCACCGGGGCGGGGCGGGTGGGCAGCTCCTCCCCTCCCTCTAAAGGGGGCTTCTGTGACAGGGTCCCGGTGGAGGACATGCAGGCCCTGAGCCTCGCCTCTCTGTCCTCTGTGGACGTGGCCAAACAGTACGAGCACATCCGAGAGCTGGGGAAGGGCACGTACGGCAAGGTGGACCTGGTGGCTCACCGCACACAAGGTAACACAAACACAAAACACACAACAGATACACTGCAGAAAGTTAAGCTTGTTTTTATCTCAAAATAAGTACATTTTCACTATTTTATTTCAAGTTCTTTTGGCAATCTCTTTTAAGACCAAATTTAATCAAGTTGGTGTGTGTGAGTGTGCGTATGTGTGAAAGAAAGGGTGTGTGTATATACGTGTGTAGAAGAAATCGCACTCATGGTTCAGCCTTACAGATAATCAACCCATGCTTAATCAATTCAAACACATTGTAAGTGTGTGTGTCTGCGTTTGTGTGTGTGTGTGTGTCTGTGTTTGTGTGTGTGTGTGTGTGTGTGTGTGTATGTGTGTATGAAATTACACTTGCCTTGTTGAAGAACTCCCAAGTCTCTTCTTCAAAGTTGCTTTTTCTTTTCAAGAGTGAAACTGAAATCCATATTTTGAAACGTGTGTAAAGATCTATTCCCAGTAAATTTCCTACAGTATTGGTTCATAAATCACAAAAAAATCAGTCATGGCCGTGTCAGAGACCACACCAAAGTTTATTTCACTTTTCTTAATTTTTTTTACAGGGTCTAAAATTGCACTGAAATTTGTGACGAAGAACAAAACCAAGTTGAAGAGCTTCCTGCGGGAGTACAGTGTGACGGGCTCGCTCGGCTCCAGTCCTTTCATCATCAAAGTGCTGGACGTGCTTTTTGAGACCGAGGACTGCTACGTATTCGGGCAAGAATATGCTCCCGCTGGGGACCTTTTCGACATCATCCCCCCTCAGGTAAAGCAATCACAGCCCTGTTCACTGTTCTCCCAGACCTGCTCCAATCACAGGCCATGGGCTCCTTTAACAAGCCCTGCTGGGAAACAGACCTGCTCCTCTCCTGCTTCTCCTGATCCTTTCTTTTCTTTCTTTGTTTTTGTGCTTGAGTGCAGGCTTCCAGACTCTTCTAATGGCTCATTAACAGTAGCTGCAGTTTTCACATCTGTTTTTGCTTGGGTTTTTTTATTTCTCCCTTTAATGGATCCATTACAGGCTGTGGGCCTGGATCAATAGGTGTTTGGTACAGGCTCAGGTCTCGCTCCCTCCTGCTGTCCCCTCTCACTCTAGTCTTTATTTAGATCCTGATAGTTCCTCTGTTGCGGGTGGGCCTGGGTTTAGCTGATGATGGTCCCTGATGGTCCCTGATGGTTCCTGTGTTGCAGGTGGGCCTGCCGGAGGACATGGTGAAGCGCTGCATGCAGCAGCTGGGGCTGGCGCTGGACTTCATGCACGGGAAAAGCCTGGTTCATCGAGACGTGAAACCGGAGAACGTGCTGCTGTTCGACCGCGAGTGCCGCAGGATAAAGCTGGCAGACTTCGGGATGACGCGGCGCGTGGGCTGCAGAGTGAAGCGCGTGAGCGGGACCATCCCGTACACGGCGCCTGAGGTGTGCCGTGCCAGCCGCAGCGAGGGGTTCTTAGTGACCACCAGTCTGGACGTGTGGGCGTTCGGCGTGCTGGTGTTCTGCATGCTCACAGGTAACTTCCCCTGGGAGGCGGCTCTTCACACTGACGCCTTCTACGAGGAGTTCCGGCGCTGGCAGAAGGCCGGCTGTCCTCTGGGAACGTACCCGTCTCAGTGGCGCCGCTTCACAGATGACGCTCTACGCATGTTCCAAAGGCTGCTGTGTGCAGAGCCGGACAAACGCTGTGGAGTCAAAGACGTCTTCTGCTTCGTCAAGTACGAACTGGTGAGCGAGCTGCGGCGCAGGGCTTCGTGTCGAGCCAAGAGAGGGGAGCGCTCCAGCTCAGGGGTCTGCACCGGCAGCTGCACCGCCACCGCCACTTCCTCCACGTTACGGTCCTCACACAGACACCCTGAACCCTCCACTCCTCCAGGCTCCACAGGTCTGAGGCCCGCCCCTCTCAAACGCTCGGTCCTCTCTGATCCTCTGTCTCCCAGAGAGGACAGTGGACCGCACCAGTCTCCAGGACGAGACAAGAACAAAAGCCAGATGGTCATGGCGACCGCCATAGAGATCTGTGTGTGACTGGTGAACACCAAATGTCTTCTGGCAGAGCTAATAAGCCGGGAAGAGCAGTTAATGAACAGCTCTGAGGCTGGGTACTTTATCTGTGAAAGACAAGCTCAGGATCACATCTCTGCAGTGGCGAATGGACACATCCATCAGGACTGGACAGCTCATCACGGCACACGCCTTTTAGGCTTTGATTTGTGACCAAAGACTGCCATGAAGCCGTCTGCATCAAACATGTGTGTCCTGCCAACATACACTGTGGTGGTGCTAATCTAGAATTAGATCTTGATAATGTATTCCTGTCGGTAATCTCACTCCGTGTTTCAGAATATTTTATATTCATTAGAAGAGAAACAGCCCTTTGAGAGGCGACTTATGTAGCGCCTGTGATTGGGGGGCTCTCTCCTTTCTCGTGTCTCACTTCTTCTGAACTTCCAACACACAAGCGGTCCAGAGTTGGAAAACAACGTAAATGTAGCAGTTTTCTATGTTTTGTACTGTAGATGTCTATTTGAAGTAGGCATCACCTCAGGACCACTGTTTTCTTAGTTTGTAGAAATCTCTAATGATTCCTTTCAACGGCTCTCAATGAGGATCGTGTGTGTATCACATTAGACTACAGGGAATACACTGGACGGTCTAGTGAGTGAAGACTGTGTGCGTGTGCGTGTGTGTGTGTGTGTGTGTGTGTTTGTGTGTGTGTGGGTGTGTGTGTGCGTGTGTGTGTGTGCGTGGGTGTGTGTGTGTGTGTGTGTGTGTGTGTGTGTGTGTGTGTGTGCGTGTGTGTGTGCGTGCGTGTGTGTGTGTGTGGGTGTGTGTGTGTGTGTGTGTGTGTGTGTTTGTGTGTGTATGTGTATTAAAAGCTAAAAAGCACAATACTTTTGTACAAAGAAGTGATCTAAATACGTACGTACACTTTAATGTAAAAAATCATAATATTATCAGATATTCCAACTACAGTGTGTAGCTGTAATTATTTTCTACTGAGACAAAAGAGTAAAAATAGTACTGTTGACACCATGCAATGGGTTCTATATGTAGCAACAAATGAATGTAGTGTATTAAATACAGATTTATAAATAAGTTACAAATTAACGTCAAACTATGTTAAACATAGGAGCAGCTGATATTTGATTCTTTTAAAGTTATTTATTTTATTTAGTGTGTATAAATTTGGTATAATAATCTTTGGCCCAATCTAAACCTTGATCCTCTTCCAGAACACAGTACCGTACTGCCTACACCAGGAGGGTCAAACCTGTTCCAGAAAGGGCAGGTGTGGCTTCAGCTTTTCCTCAACTCTTCAGGTTTAAACTGGACTCACCCGAGGAAATGGGTGGAGTCTGCTCTGCTCCTGCTTGATTGGAAAGAAAACCCGAAGCCAAACTGGCCCTTTCTGGAACTGGTTTGACAACTCCTGATGTAAATGAATCTAGGCTCAACTTTGTTACAGTCTCAGCGACCACAGGAGCACATTCTGTCGTCTGCTTTAAACCAACACTAATGCCATTCTATTCACTGTGCTCACATTTTGGCCATTGAGCATTTGAAGGAGATAATTCCCCCACCAACCTCCTCCATGACCTCCCCTGTTCCTCCTAACCCCTTTCCACTTCCCTGGCCTCCTCCCTGGCCTCCTCGCCCCTCTCTCTGAGTCGTGCTGGTCTCCTCGAGCGCACTTCCAGTCTGTGAGTCCCGATGACAGCAGCCGTCACGTCGCTCCGATCCAGCGTCTGTTCAGTGTCTCCATCTCCGAGTGAAAATGAAACCACCACACGTCCTCTTCACGTCTGTGTCTCTCTCTCAAAGCTCCCCCAACAGTTGAAATCATTTATATTTTCGGTGTTTGACTTTGTCTCTTAAACGGTGAATCTGATCGAAACCGATGTCTGTGTCAAAGTCGAGCCTGGTATCTTCACATTTTTTTCCGCTGTGTTCCAGAAATAGAGGTTTTTGGTTCGGAATAGTCCATAATGTCGGCAGCTGTGGCGAGTCATTTGGTATGTCACAGCCACTTGGATCAACTCCGCACAATCAGTTACCCCAGAGACTGCTGCTGCTGCTGCTGCTACTGCTGCTGCTGCTGTGACATCTGCTGCCAAGTCAAATTCAAGTTATTTACGCTATAGGTCAACAGCCCGCCCGCCGGTTATAAATCACACTGCAATGTTTTCACTGTCATTAGACTTACGTTGTTAATACTGTAAAAAGTGTACGGTCTTTATCAAAACAGATATATTATGTTGAAATAAATTTATGCACCAAGTGTTGTGCGTCTTGTTCTCTTGTGCTCAGAGGGAAACTTTTTCTCAGAGATCAACTTGGTCCAAAGATATATATGACATGTTACATAACCGTGCCTGGCTGCTCTGAAAGCTCCAGTGCACATTTATATATACGTTATGAATGCTTATTGACATATTTCATCCTCCCGACAGGCAAGATGCAGTCCTCCGCTCACACACACAGGAAGCCAAAGCCCACAGCGTATTGTCTGAAAAAATAAATGTGTTTTGTTTTATGGTAAGTTTGTCATTGACCCTTTAATGGTTTCCTCAACTTTTTTTGGTTGACCGCGTTTTTAGTCACTTAGTCTCCCTGAATCTTGATATCTTCCTCATTGGGGCATCTTTATCACTGGTTACAGGCATGTTTACCATCAAACTGCATCTCAACCATTTTGTAAAGACCAATAATAAGACTAGGAGGTGAAAAAAAAGTAATTATTAGTGTAATTATTGCGTCCTACATCTTCCAACAATTTTCTTTCATTGCTTTCTTCAAGCAATGTACACAATACAATTTACAATACAATTTATTCTTGTATAGCCCTAGGTCACAACAGAAGTCATCTCAGAGGACTTAACAAAACCATTGAAATCACCAACACAGGTCAGAGAATCAACAGTTAAAACACATGAAGAATATAAAGCACACACAGAAGAAAATGTCCATACATGTTGTAGAATGCTAAAGTGTCCTGATCATCACCAATCCTTTCTGTTGGACACTAACTGTCCAACAAGACCCTCCTGCATCGACAAGGAAAAACTCTTAAAAAACCCAGTGGGAAAAAGTGAGAAACCTTGGAGGAGAACTAGGGAAACCCACAGGGAGGGAGACCCATATGAGAAAGGGATCCGCTCCTCCGGACGGACAGACTAATGATCTAGGACCTAAGCTAGCTACAGAACGTGGACCAGTGGACGCTGAACGTGGACAGGTCCGGTGCAGGACCGAAGCACTCCCAGGCGGGTCGGGCGGGGCAGTCCAGGGGTAAGATTGCAAAGGGTTAAGATATGATGAACTATTGGTCTCACAATAGAGAAATTTACATGTTACTTTTGGCTTCAGAAAGACCACTCAGGGCAGGAAAAAAAGACAGGAAAATTGCAATTGTTGGAAAGTGGAAAAAGTTATTTGACCTGGTTTAAAAAGAAACACTGAATTAAAAAAGCAAGTTTAAAATTATTTAATATAAAATCCATAAAACAAGTAGAAGCCATAAGATAACCTAATCCAAACATTGGGGTTTAAAAACAGGGCTGAAAGTTAAAACGATTGGCTAAAAATACAGGCTCTCTGGTGCAATTTAATTAAGCAATAAAAACAAACATGCAAAAAAAAAAAAAGAAGAAACCTTACTAAAACCCACCACCCCTTTTGCATCCACTGACACAAACATGTGAAAAAGTGAAAAAGATGTAGTTTATCTTATGTCAAATGTAGCTATTGGTAATTACAACTACAATGAGTTGATTAAACGTATGCAAATCTCTGTCTGTAGTTCATGACACTGTGACAATGTCGGGTTTTTGCCGAGTGGGAAAATGAATTGCAGTCCGGCATGTTCTGTACGAAGGTCGAAGAGACTCGTGTGGCTTCCTCCGGCTTTTGAGTTTAGTGCCACCAAACCCCCAGACTGCTTTGATATGCCGCCTCTCCTCGGAAAGTCTAATTAACACATCACAAGATACGCACTATCTGCCGCTGCCCTCACAGACCCACAAGGTTCAAGGACGGCAAGATTAACGGCTGCTGGAACCGGAGCGTTTTGTCAGTGAGAAAACCTCTGTTGGGCCATGGTCCACGCAGAGCTGTCATGTGCCTCGTCTACAGGCATCTGCACTGGTCCAGCTTGAGCCTCATTCACACTGGGCAAAAATATGGGATTTAAACAAAAAATCAAAAACCTGGTTGTGTTGACTCCTCCGCAGAGCAACATGGGCTGGTGGGTTGAAACGACACACCTTTTAATCTCAGACTGTATATTAGGATTGGACTGACCGAGTGTGACATCACCGTTGTGTTGGCCTTAACAAAGGACTCCCAGAATTCTGAAACGACATGACTCCCAGAGCAGTCGTATTGACGGCTCCCATTCAAATCAATGGAGTTCTACATTTTTTGGTGTTCACTACTGTTGAAAATTAAGTAATTGGGCTTTTATGCTAAAACTGGTTAATATAAAAGAAATCTAGCAAAACTGAATCTAGCAAAACTGAATGCTAATGCTAATGACCTGAAGGGCTGTTGCTTTTTATTACGACTGTTTGCTTAGAATGAGGATCATCCACCCACCCCCCATCCACCCACCCATCCATCCATCCATCATCCATCCATCCACTCCACTCCATCCATCCATCCATCCATTCATCCACCCACCCATCCATCTATCATCCATCCCCCACCCATCCATCCATCCATCCATCCACCCATCCATCCATCCATCCATCCACCACCACCCCCATCCATCCATCCATCCACCCATCCACCCACCCATCCATCCATCCATCCATCCACCCACCCATCCATCCATCCATCCATCACCCACCCCCATCCATCATCCACCCACCCATCCATCCATCCATCCACCCACCCATCCATCCATCCATCCACCCACCCATCCATCCATCCATCCATCCACCCACCCATCCATTCATCCACCCACCCATCCATCCATCCATCCATCCATCCATCCATCCATCCACCCACCCATCCATCCACCCATC